ATGGTCGTAGTAAGTATTCGCCACCAGGAGGTCGAAGGACGTGCACATTTCCATCAAGAGCTGCCTGTTGGAGACAGCGGCTGGCACTGACGAATCCGCAACATCAGGGCACTCAAACACGTGATGTCCAATAATGTTCTGCTCTCCGGCTCCAACCCGCAGGAGTCTAGCATTCAAGTTACTTATGATGTACGTTGTGCTGTGTGCGATGGTCGCCCGAATCTGCGTCTGTAGATCCGCGTAGAAAGATTGCCGCTCCTCATAGGGACGACGATTGTGTGGAGCATATACCGAGAGAAGGGTTAGCATGCCAGCTTTGATTTTGATTCTCAATGAAGCCACTCTGGAGGTGCACGCCTTGAAAGCTACGATGCTGTTCAAAATACGTGGAGCCACTATGAAACCCACTCCGGCGTGCGACCGCACGTCCGAGTCCAGCTCACCCGACAGAAATACAGTGTAACCGCCTCGTGAATAATATTCGGAACCATGCAAATGCGTTTCTTGCACGCAAAGAATATTCAAGTCTCGTATGCGCATGATGTCAATGAGCTCGTCTATCTTGATGATCGAGTCGCCGCCTAAACCTTCCACACTCCACGTGCCCAATCGACCAGGGCAACAAGCGTGACAGGCAGACCGGGGCCTACCCCAAGCATGGCCTGTAGAAGAAGATGGTTCCAGCAACCCTTCGCGAAGAGGACGGGCGGAGGGAGGAAGAACAGGACCAGGGCGTAGTGCAGCACAAGGTGGCGGAGAATGTGAAACAACCGCTGGTCGCAGTACGACGTCCAAACCAAGCTGCAACGAGGGCTGGTGCTCTTGACACAGATGCTGTGGAGGAGGAAAGGTGGGAACAGCTTTCGAACAACCAGCGAAGTCGGGAGCGGGGGTCGAACTCTACGGAGCATCCTTCTCAAGCCGAACATACAACGCAAAGAGCGAATTTCTGACCTCCTCGAGGTCAGGAAGACAAGAGAACTCAGAAAATTCAGAGGAAGGAGGAGGCTCTGAGGACTGGAGGGACCTGACAGAGTCAACGATACCCGACGCCAGAGCTAAACAAAGGCCAGCCATGTATGTCTCCTGGGATGCAGTGGGAAACTGTCCCTGGCAGTCTCTACCCAGGAAAGTCCTCAGGGCCCCTCTCCCACGGGAGCACCGTTCAGAACTTGGGGTGTCGTTGAGGTGCCCTGGAAGAGAAGGCATCCAAATGGAGAGAATGCTCGTGGGTGCTCGTCCCACTTCCTCAGGGCGCACTCTGGATCCTGGTGCTCGCACTGATGAAAAGTGGTGCAGGCAGCGTAAGGCGCTGCACTGAGAGCCTGCAGAGGGCGCCAGTTGAAAGAGGTGGGGGCTTTAGGGGCCCAAGTAGGGGAGGCGTGGTGTTCGAGCCAGCCACTAGTGCGGGCCCTCAGATGTTCAGACAATTACCCTGGCGACGTACCCAACCCCTGCGCAATGCGGGGCATGAGTAGCTTGGGAGACGTTATACGGAGGTAATGACGTGACATGGGCGCATATACTTCTGCGAGCGGCATTCGTGAGGCTCGCAGCCCCCCAAGGATGGCGAGGTCCCGCTCAGATCTGCGCGGTGCCTTGCTCCGCAGGACCCGCCAGCAGCCCTCGAAAGTAGCGATAATTTCGCAGATCGCAGCCCCCCAGGGACGGCGAGGTCCCGCTCAGGTCCGCGCGGTGCCTCACTCCGCAGGACCCACCAGCAGCCCTCGAACGTGGCGACAGTTTCGCAGATCACAGCCCCCCAGGGACGGCGAGGCCCCGCTCAGGTCCGCGCGGTGCCTCACTCCGAAGGGGTTCACCAGCAGCCCTCGAACGTGGCGACAGTTTCACAGATCGCAGCCCCCCAGGGACGGCGAGGTCCCGCTCAGACCCGCGCGGTGCCTCACTCCCCAGTACCCACCAGCAGCCCTCGAAAGTGGCGACAGTTTCGCAGATCGCAGCCCCCAGGGACGGCGAGGTCCCGCTCAGATCTGCGCGGTGCCTCACTCCGCCGGACCCACCAGCACCCCCCGAAGGTGGCGACAGTTTCGCAGATCGCAGCCCCAGGCACGGCGAGGTCCCGCTCAGATCTGCGCGGTGCCTCACTCCGTTGGACCCGTCAGCAGCCCTCGAACGTGGCGATAGTTTCGCAGATCGCAGCCCCCCAGGGACGGCGAGGTTCCGCTCAAGTCCGCGCGGTGCCTCACTCCGCAGGACCCACCAGCAACCATCGAAAGTGGCGACAGTTTCGCAGATCGCAGCCCCCAGGGACGGCGAGGTCCCGCTCAGGTCCGCGCGGTGCCTCACTCCGCAGGACCCAGCAGCAGCCTTCGAAAGTGGCGACAGTTTTGCAGATCGCAGCCCCCCAGGGACGGCGAGGTCCCGCTCAGGCCCGCGCGGTACCTGCTCCGCAGGACCCACCAGCAGCCCTCGAAAGTGGCGACAGTTTCGCAGACCGCAGCCCCCCAGGGATTGTGAGGTCCCGCTCAGGTCCGCGCGGTGCCTTGCTCCGCAGGACCCACCAGCAGCCCTCGAAAGTGGCGACAGTTTCGCAGATCGCAGCCCCCCAGGGACGGCGAGGTCCCGCTCAGGTCCGCGCGGTGCCTCACTCCGCAGGACCCACCAGCAGCCCTCGAAAGTGGCGATAGTTTCGCAGATCGCAGCCCCCCAGGAACGGCGAGGTCCCGCTCAGGTCCGCGCGGTGCTTCACTCCGAAGGACCCACCAGCAGCCCTCGAAAGTGGCGACAGTTTCGCAGATCGCAGCCCCCCCAGGGACGGCGAGGTCCCGCTCAGGTCCGCGCGGTGCTTTGCTCCGCAGGACCCACCAGCAGCCCTCGAAAGTGGCGACGGTTTCGCAGATCGCAGCCCCCCCAGGGACGGCGAGGTCCCGCTCAGATCTGCGCGGTGCCTCACTCCGCTGGACCCACCAGCAGGCCTCGAAAGTGGCGACAGCTTCGCAGACCGCAGCCCCCCATGGACGGCGAGGTCCCGCTCAGGTCCGCGCGGTGCCTCACTCCGCAGGACCCACCAGCAGCCCTCGAAAGTGGCGACAGTTTGGCAGATCGCAGCCCCCCCCCCGCTCAGGTCCGCGCGGTGCCTCACTCCGCAGGACCCACCAGCAGCCCTCGAAAGTGGTGACAGCTTCGCAGGTCGCAGCCCCCCAGGGACGGCGACCACAGGGGGGGGGCGGGAGAATGGGCAAGATGCACACAAGAGCTACCGCATGCAAGATGCACACGCACGCACACGCGGCACCCACAAGGCGAGAGGAGACAAGAGGGAGGCGGGAGGCGGGAGGAGGAGAAGAAGGAGAGACGCGACCACACCCCTCTATTCAAAACGAATACCCAACCAGGGAGTGTTGGGAAAAAGCCACACCAGCGAGAACAAAAGCTTTGAACCAACTCTGAGCTGCTCGGACTGCTTCTGAGCCACCAACGGTAGACCCCTATCGCAGTTGGAAGACTGTAAGGGGGAGCCCTTCGTGCCATCTGGAAGCTGACCATGTCTCCCATGGAGGCCCCTCCCCTGTGTTGATGACTCTGTGGCTCCTGATGTGGCCCGCCCACTCCAAAAGCGTAGCCTCTCTCGTCAAGTCGTCTCCAATGGGATCGATGGCGGGATCAACGCTGAGTAAGTACCACCAACTCAACTGTCGGCTGCTGGATGGCAAACTCTATCTGCCACTGAATGTCGCCAGCTCCGCGACGTCCACAGTAGAGGTTGAGCACGAACAGGCAGCCCTGGAAATTCGAATCGGGACCTGAGCAGCAGCAAACATGATATATCACCCAGGGCTGAAAACATAAAACGGCCCGTCCCTGGATTCACGAACCTCCGCGGGCTCGTCCTAGAAAACCTGGAGATGGTCTTCGATGTTTTTTCCAATTGAGCGGCATATCCGGATTCCACGAGGACTCGTTGGGCATTTTTGGGTGATGGCTTCCAGGCGAGTTGCTTGATAGCATCTTCTCTGACCTGCCCTGAATACTTCTAGCCGGGAACTCCGTGCGCCATCGATTTTGCCCAGCATTGCGCTGAGCCTTCAACCGATCTGCTTCAGCCCCATTCAAAAGCTGCGCCTCGGCAGCTGTGCACTGCGGGGCGGATACAAGCATGCCGACGGCGCACTTGGCAGAGTCGAACGCGAGGTTTGCCGTTAAAGCCGAACGATGAGCAAATTGTTGGAAACATGTGTTGCACTGAAGCTCGGCCCCCTGACGTTTCCAGATGAAATCCACCCTGGAGTGATGAACACGATTGATATGAGACCGAAGCCCGCGGACCTTGGAAAACGTCATGTCACACAAGAAACCCTGGAAACGTCGTGTCATGCCACACCAGGACCAGCGGGTGGCGGCAGCCGCTGAGGTCTCGCGCGACGAGGGGACTTCTGTAGTCGACGTAACTCAATGCTTGCAGTAAGCCAGATGTTAGCGGTTGGAGTGTATTAGGCGAAGAGGGAAAGGTGGATGACAGGGAAGAGGCTTACGCAGATATGTAGAGAAAACCCTCAAAGGCCCCAGATTGGCGTGTGAGTTATGTTGCGAGATGGGCGCGCCGAGGCATACGCGCGCGCCAACCAGGGCCGTAAATATAGCGCCTTGGGGCCACGATACGCGTGAGGGGTGCGCCGACATGAGCGCGCCACGACATGCGTCTTGGCGCACTGAAGCCATAGATGGGGCTCCCTGTGGGGTCACATGATCCTCGTCAGGGGTGTGGCGCGAAACGTGTGGGTGGCACGCCAACATGGCAAAGGTATATACGGCATGCGCGCGTCCACTGCAGTCGAAGGTGGAGCTCCCTGGGCCCGAAAGATGAGAGAGGTGTGTGGCGAAATCAAGATGCGGAGAGCGCATTGGCAGAGAGAAGTGGGTGCAGGTGGGAGGAGAAGGAGGTGCGCGCGCGCGTTGGCGTGCTAGCGGGGTAGACCTCGAGCCCGAGGCGCACCTCCTCTCTGCTCACCCGCCCTCGGCGCGGCCCGTGCGTACCGCAGGCGCGGGGGCAGCTGCTGCCGCCAGAGGTCACGCTGCGGATGTGGATGGATCGGCGGATTGGCGGCGAGGTGGAGGCCGACCCCCGCCGCCCCTGCGGTCCAGTCTGGCCGCATCGCAGTCGCTTGCGCTCGTCCGGCTCGCGTAAGGGTCGGTTGTCGTGTCGCTGCTGCGTGGCTGCGCCTTTCTGGGCTGCGTTGCGTTCGATTGGTTTCGGTCTCCCTGTTCGGTCGGTTCTCGCTTGTGTTGTCGCCGTGGACGGCTTTGCTTCACACTTCGTTCGGGATCCAAACTCAGGAGCTGACCTCGGGATGCCTGGGGAGAAGTTCAGGAGGATCGAGTCGGAAGGCCGAGAGCTCGAGAGATCGATCATTGGGTAACCTCCCGATGAGAAGTCCCGAGGGGGCCCGATGCCTGTACTTCCCTTCCTTGGTCCTCGTCCCAGTCCCGCACTCCTGCCCCTCCCTGTCCCCTCCCCCCTTCTCCTCTTCCATCCTCCCTTCCGTCCCCCATAACCGTTCCCCTTTCTCGTTTCCTCTTGTTTCCCGCATGCTGAGTGGGGTTATTGTTGTCCCAGACCATCTCCTCATCCTCCTCCTGCTCCTGCTCCTCCTCCTTCTGCTCGTCCTCCTCCTGCTCCTCCTGCTCCTCCTCCTCCTCCTCCTCCTCCTCCTCCTCCTCCATGCCATCGCCAGGACGTCGTGCTCGCCAGGACGGTACTCGCGCACCAGCCCTGGATGGCCGAGCACATCTCGGTCGCGGCAGGTGTCGTCAGGTTGACGAGCCCGCCAGCTTTCCGAACCTGTTCGCGGACATCCACCGGCAGGAGGCTCAGACGCGGGTCGCAACGCTGGGGGACGGGGAGGAAAATGGCGCTCGTCGCTTCCCGAATCGAGCGGCTGCCATGAGACGGCGCGCCATGATTTGGAGCCCGTTTAACCGTCGACGATACATCGCAGGCATCCTCGAGGATGTCGGCGGCGTGCCGGCTGAGGATCCCGGCGCGCAGGCAGAGGCGCTCAGGAGGCATTGGGGACCTGTTTTTGGCCATCCAGCTGAGCTACCCGACTGCGCCGATAGATACCTTGCGAAGTTTTCGAGTAAGGTCAGCTTTGATTTCGCCTTGCCCAGCATCAGCACGATTGAGAGGGTGCTGAGGAAGGGTGGCTGGTCTGTCCCTGGCCATATCTGGCATGGCTGTACGGGCTGGGGCCGTCAGTGCTGACGGCGGTGCTCCATTGGATTTGCAGCGCGAGGCCCATGCCGGTGCGTTTCTCGGCCTCCTTGGCCGTCTTCCTCCCCAAGGGCGATTCGGACAACGACCCTGCAGAGGGGGGAGTGGTGCGCGCGGCAAGGGACACGCGCCCATGGTGCCTCAAGACGACGGCCAACAAAGCGGTGGGGAGCGTCATCAACACCCAACTGCGCGCCATCACCGTGCGCATCGGTTCCATCATCCAGAACGGGTTCATACCGAAACGCATTTTTCTGCAGAGCGTGATCACGCTGGACGCCGCAACCTGGATTGCGAGCGCCAACTCCGAGTACAATGGTGTCGCGTTGCTCACGTTCGACTTCAAACAGGCGTTCCCGTCGGTATCGCAGCCATGGCTCCACCGATGCTTGGCATTTTTGGACATCCCGCAGAGCTTGCGCAATGCGGTTGGCATGATGTACTGGCACAACCCATGCTATTGGTGCGGAGCGGGCATGCTAGAGCACCTTTACGACGCGGTGAGTGGCGTGTTGCAGGGATGCCCCATGAACGGCAGCCTGTACGTCATCATCAGCAACCCTTTCAACGACGACTTCCACCAGACGGTCGACTCCAGGTTGAGGGGACCACCCGAGCGTGCGCGGACGACGTAGGCATGGTCGCGCGGAGCGCCCGCGCCCTCAAGCAAGCCGCGAGGGTGTTCGGCATGGCCGCGAGGATGGCGAACCTCCACCTCGAACCGACGAAGTGCAAGGCTGTGGCACTCAGCGGACCGTTGTCGGAGGAGGTCGTCCTGGCCGTGCGGAGCGAGCTTATACAGGCCAACCCTGCTTGGGAAGCTTTCGACATGTGCGACATGGCCGTCTACCTCGGCTTCATGCTCGGGCCTGCTGCGTCTCCGCGGCGATTGGCAGGGCACGGTGCAGAAGGTAGCGCTACGCGTGCGGGACATCAAAAAAACAAAAGCGGATGTCTATACGGCGTTCCAGCTTTTCCGGGAGCGTGCATTACCAGTCGTGGGTTATAAGGCGCAGCTCCTCCCGCTAGAATGGGCCATAGTAAGACAGGGGCGGCACTGGTACGCAGCGCTGGCAAGGTGTACGAGCTCCGCTTTCCGCCACGCCGATTGGTTCGAGCTGCGCTCCTTCGGCGGCTCCCAGGTGACCTCGCTCGGGGCGATCGCGGGCAGCGCCATGATACGGACGGCGCTGGAGACGATCCCGCACTGGCGCGAGGTGCTGACGAATTGGCGAGACCAAGTCGTCGAGCACGGCATTTTCGCGGCATGGGGCGAAAACAAGCTGGCGCCGCCCTTCTGGCAGAGCATGCCGATGGTGCTGTCCCTCGAGCGCGCTGCAGGAGGGCACCGGGGCGACCCGCACGTCGCTGCGGGCGCCGTCGCCGGGCTCCAGGAGTTGGCGCGAGGCCGCGGGGACCTGGGCAACGCGCGCCCCCGCCGGCGTCGCCAGCGGACGCAAGGTGTGCTTTGCAGGACCATCCAGGAGCAGCTCTTCACGTCTACGGTCGCCGACACCATCGTGACGCGCGTGAGGAAGTGGTTCCTCCCGAGCTTCCAGAAAGAGAACGTCCAAGGGGAACGATTGGCAGCGCGGATGCGCTCCCAGCCGCCTTCGTGGGCGACCACAGCGCTGCGAACGTGGGTTGGGGCATGGCCGACGGGCGCGCGCATGCTAGGCCAAGGGACTGACAACGTCACGCACTACATCAATGAGCGCATGCACCTGAGGAGGATGGCCGAGAAAGTCCTGCAGGCGCCGCTCCCTGGCTCCGTGCGGCGGCGGCTGGGGCTGGTGAGCGGGGACGCCGCCCAACCACCGCATCTGGCATTCGTGGTCGCCCTCTTCACGCGCTACCAGCTGATTCTGCAGGAGTTGCGCCGCTGGGAGTTGGACGTTCTCTCCAGAGGCGAGGCCGCGCTTCTCGTGGAACCAACGCGATTGGCTCTCCGGCTGCCGCGCGGCATGCTGGCCAGGCGTCGTGAGCTCTTGGGGCCGCCCGCGCTGCGAGGCGCAGTTTCCTCCTCCTCCCCCTCCTCCTCCTCCTCCTCCTCCTCCTCCTCCTCCTCCTACTCGTTCTCCTCCTCCTGAAGCTGCAGAACCAGGGTAGCCGCGCGTAGGCGCGTCGGGGCGGCAGGCACGGCGGCCTCTCGGGAGCCTCTCTCCCCCTCCTCGGGGAACCCTGAACCTCCTTTTCCTCCTCCTCCTCCTCCTCCTCCTCCTCCTCCTCCTCCTCCTCCTCCTCCTCCTCCTCATCCTCATCCTCATCCTCCTCCCTCCTCCTTTGCTCATCCTCCCATATTTCTTCCTTCCTCCTGCACGGTTCCTCCTGCATGCACCTTCTCACACCACCATTCCCACAAGATTCGTGCACTTTCCACTCCACCAGCCCCACCAGTGCCGCCTCAGTCCTTCTGCATGCACATGCTCTTGTCGCGTTCCTACCCCACCAGCACCACACCGCTTTCCCACCCCACCAGCCTCACCTTCCATGTGGTCGTCTAGGGAGGCTTCGCCTGACCGCGGCAGGCACCAGAACACCGCGCTAGGTATCAAGTTCCGTGCCCTCCCCAATCCGTCAGCCTCGCAAGTGCCATTTGGCCCTCCACGGAAGTTTCGCCAGACCGCGGCAGGCATCGGAGTACCGTCTTATGTACTAAGTGTCATGCTTTCCCCACTCCACCGGCTTTCAGGAGGCCTCGCCAGATCGCGGCACCCATCGGAGTACCCCGCCTCATCCTCCTCCTCCTCCTCCTCCTCCTCTTCCTCCTCCTCCTCCTCCTCCTCCTCCTCCTGTTCCTCCTCCGCCTCCTCCTCCTCATCCTCCTCCTCCAGCGTGGCAAAATTCTGGTCCCGTTGCCAATGCTGCCCTCGACCAACTCTGCGAGTATCTTTTGGTTGGAGGCCGTCTGGAGGACGACTATACTTACTGCCGTGCTGTACTCTTACCGAAGGGAGAGGTAGAGAACCTCGGGGAGGAAGTGAGGGACCCTTGCACTACGCGGCCTTTGTCTGTGTCCAACACGGACAACAAGCTGCTGAGTGTTGCGATCGCTTCCGTCTTGAATGAGGTTGCAGCCTACCCCTGCGATGCGATTCAGCGTGGCTTTGTCAAAGGTAGGCTCATGGATGTTAACATCATCTCTCTGGATTGCATGCTGACTCTCTGGGGTGCAGCGCTGTACGAAGAAGGCCGTGGTCTCACGCTCTTCGGTTTCAAGAACGCGTTCCCGAGTGTTTTCCAGAACTTGATACTTTTGGTGCTTTCGAGGATGGGTTTGCCCCGTTTCCTGGTGGCCGTCAGTACTGCCTTGTATCAGGATGTCTGGGCCGAAATCTCCATGGGTAATGGTTCCCAAGGTTTTTGGACGTATTGGGGCATGATACAGGGGTGCCCATTGTGCGGCGTCCTTTTTGCGCTTTTCATGGATCCAGTCCTGCGGTATTTGCTCCAACTTCGGCCCCGTCTCGAATTTGAACTCAGTGCGTTTGCTGACCATTTATCTCTGGTGGCTCGTCATATATATATATATATATATATATATATATATATATATATATATATAAGTCATTGCCATTCATCATTAAAAGATCATGCGTCGCGGGAAAGGTTACGGGCCTGCATCTGAATCTACAGAAGTGCGTGATTGTCGTCCTGAACCAAGACGGCCGCGAGAAGGCATATAATGTGTATGCCCTGTCTGTAGTGTCGCATGTGGGCAATTTTCCCTCCTTGCCGACAACATACGCGGCAAGAACGTGAAGCGCAGCAGCTTTTGCCAAGAGCGCCGAGGCACGCCTTCCCTCCGAAAGCGATGTTTTACCTTCGAGTTCGTGGGCTCCC